CATAGCTAGTTCCCAGTGAGTGCTGAAGGGTCACTGGCTCACCAGGGCTCCAAACATGGAGATTCTAGCAGAGCACAAGATCCAAGGAGACACTTGAAACTTTACTGATGTTTAAACACTTTCCCCTAGGGCTGAAATTGCTACACTTAACATCCATGTTTAATAATACTAGGGGATTCCATAGACTGTACTACTACAGCACACAATGCAACACATGAAAGCTGTTTGAGTATTTGCAGTTTTCCTTCCACAAGAGGTTAACTATACACAAAACGACCTAATTGAAAACAGGTGATACAGATACATAGGCTGCAGAAACGCTCATTAAATCACGGGCTGCACTTTTTGCTTGTTATCAGGGGAACAGCTTAGTATTTCCATTGCTACTGAAAGCACTTCAAATGCTTTCTAACCAAACATTAGAGAACTGTTCTAACCCCTGATAACCCACAAAAATCATACCCTAAAGCTGCTCCACTCTCCATCTCCATGGTTTTATCACTTCCTCCTTTTCTTACCTCCCAAAAGACGCACATTTCTTATCAACAACAACAACAAAAAATACCAGCTCAACAGAAATAGGAGTTGTTTAATAAATAAATACTTATTTGCCTTTCTAGAGACAAGCAAGTATGATAAGGAATGAAATTTTATCTTAAGCTAGGCAGATATTCCTCTGCAGAGCCACCACCTTAGAGAAGTGGATTAACATCCTCTGGGGCTGGGCTGACTCTGATTTAGCCTGCACAACATGCACTGGGGAAAAAGAAAATCAAAACAAAACCAGGAAAGAAAGAAGGGATGGAAAGTTGATCTGATCACTGCCAGCTGCTGATTGTACTAGCTTCACTGTGATCTCTTCTTATATAAGAGATGAGATTCATTTTCAAGCATGTTAGAGACAGAAACGTACAGCCTCCTTCAATATTCATACTGTTCTTAATAAGGAGAAGATACCAAGATAAAGAACGTGTAGGTCAAAGCCTTGTCTTCAGGGAAGATAATTTCAAATCAAGGGGAGTGTTCAAATGAAATGATGTTCACTTTTCCCTGGAAAAAAATCATGCTCTGCTCAAGTCAATTCTAATTACCACCCCCCTACAGCATTTACAGTTCTTGGAAGATTCTCTCATTTGAGCATTGGTGCATGGAAGCAGAACTATTTTTCTTCAAAGCAGAAGAGCTCAGGAGAAATCATCATGCTGCAACAGGTGCTCAATTCTCTGTTACAGGTGTGACATTACAGCTTATGTGTATTTCCAATTAAAAAAATTACATTATCAAAGTGAAAAAAAAAAAAAAAAAAAAGCTATCTGCTAAGAGGAACCTTGAGAAGCACTGAATAAAGAGATCATGGTTCTCATGTACAGTCTTAAAAGCCAGCCTACCCTGTAATGCAGTCTGCAGAACTGAACAAGACCATGAGAAAAAAAATAAATAAATAATAAAAAAAAAATAAAAAGAAAAAAGAAAACTCAGATTATTAGTGATATGAAAAACCAATTTCTACAGTCAGCATGGTAATGTAAAAGAGAAGCCCTCAAGTGTGAAACAGCACTGCAGAGCAAATCTATTGGAGACCATTGTGCTTGCAGTCATACAGTGTGGCTCACAATCAGGAGAGACTGAATATGGAGCATCTACTGTTGGGAGACTCAGCTATGGGCTCAGTCTCTCAAATGTTAACAGGTCTGAAGCACAAACAGACGGGCCTGGCACCCTCCATAGCTGTCTCCCTTCTTTCCAATCTCCTTCTGTTTCACTACAGGCTCAATAATCAGACCAAAACCACTTTGACCAAAAAAAAAAAATACTCTACAAAAAGTCCCTGTGGTAGTATTGTAATAAAAATCCCATGATGGTGTAATGTGGTATGACTAGCAAGCACATTAAAGCTATTGCCACTACAGTAATCCTTAGTTTTAGATTTGTACCATGCATTACTAGGGAGGACATTATGGAAATCTGTGGTGAGCACTCAATAGCACAAGACTATAAACCACATTACAGAAGTAGAATATTTGTAAGAAAATTGAGAGGATATGTTTAACCTTATCACAAAAGTGTAATTTGCATTATGTAAAGTAATGGCATTTTCATTATTTTCCCCTTCATGTATCAGCCTGCACAGATGCTTAGAGATTCAGTTCCCCAAAACCTACAGCTGGAGAAAAGCCAGCCAATAGTTTTATGCCTAGCACTCTGGGAGCTGAAGCTATTTACCCTGGGATTACAGATTAGCACCCTAAATTACATTCTGTAAGAAAAATGGATGGACGTATAACTAAGAGTGTTGACTCTTGCACAGGTTGGGAAGTGGAAATAAGATATCTCAGAATTAAATCTGACTTACCACAGAGATATGTTTTTCAGGAACATCACAAAATGTATTTTTTCCAGATAAAAAAATTGATTGTTTGGTTCCCCTATGGAGCTGAAGAGCTTATTTTTCTCTGGACTGAAATTTCAGAAATGTATAGACCTGGATGATTGCTGCTGTTGCCCTCTGTGTGCCAGAAAACCAACAGAGGAGGGGCAGCACAGGAAAATGAGTTTCTAACAAATTCTTACAAAAGAACTTTAAAGAGGTTTTACAAAGAAGTAGCACTTCCCAAAACAAAAATCCTTTAACAACTTCTAGCTCACTTGTGAAGAAGTCTCTGGCATTGAACAACAGAAACACAGCAGATCAAAACAAAATATACATGGCACAGAGATCTCCTGACCTCAGTCTTAGAAAGCCTCATGAACTTCAGGTCTTAATACAGAAAATCAGTTTTCTTAGATCAATGTCCTGCTAAATATACAAGGAAAAAGAAAAAAAGAAAAAGAAAAAAAAAACCAACAACCATAGCTACCAGTGAGGACAAAATAATCACCCTGTGATTAAGAAGGCTCCATGTTGCCCTTTCATTACCATGACACAGTTACCAATGTTTAGTAATACAATGCCAAATGAGACTCTGATCTTCAGAATTATTATAAACCAGAGACCAGGGAAGAGGGGGAAGCACCACAGTTAGCTCGTGACTGAAAATGGACTTTCTTTCCACTTGCAGTCATCTTCCTAGAAAAGCCCAAGCATTTAACTGATATTCTCATTTACTCAATCATAGAGTTAGCCTCCCAGCCTCACACTTGGACATAAACCACCTCATTTTTAAATAGAGCTCTTCTTAGGCAATGTCTTCTGCAAAGAAAAGCTCAATATTTCTCATAGGAGTCCTCCACCAGGCTGAATATTGTCAGACAGATCTATACCTAATGCACATCAACTTTTAATATGCTTTTAATAGCTCAGCCTGTGCTTGCCATATGCAAAGCTGAAATGGAACTCCCCAAAGCCAAGCATTGTGATAGTGATGTATCCAGAATTTGTGGTGAACGAAGGTAAATTGGCACGACACAACTAATATTGTAAGGAGTAAGGAATGTGAAATAGGCAATAATGCCAAAAGCTTAACAAGTATTGTTTTTAACTATCTTTTGTGCTCCGGGGAATAGATTGAGAATGCAAGGCTTAAGTTATAAATTGGGCATTCCAGACATTTTCTGTAGGCTGCGAAGGTCTCTGATCTGAGGTGGGGCTGTGTTCTCCCCTCATGCATTTGTTCTGTCCGACCTTCTCATCGAGAACACAAGGAAGAAGAGCAGAGAGAACTATTCTGTAAATGCCCGATGGTTTACCTCAAACTCTTTAAGCAATAGCTCATCAAATTCCATCTCTTTATAGACTTCCATCAGTGCAACCCTTAAGATAAATTATTTTTGTTATTTCAGATTTCCTTCGGTGGGCAAATGTGGACAGTCACAGCGAGTGAAATCAATTCTTATTTACGTTAGCAGAAAGTGGGACAGAACTCTCTACGGGGGACACATCTTGCTTCATCGCTGGGGTGCTTATCTCTCCGGATACTCCACATGCCTTCAGTATTTCATAACATGAAAAATCTTTTCCAAAGAGCTGCTCTACACCACAGAGATCGGCACTGACTGCAAACTCTGCTGCTGAGACATTTGTAAGCCTTACTGAGATTAGATGCTGTATTTGCCAGAGCAAAACCAGAGCAGAACAGACTAGTACAGTGCTTACACTTCTATTCCTTTTGTATCTGTGTTAGAAGAGTGGTTGGTTGTGTTTGGTGGGTTTTTTTAGGGTTTTTATGTTTGTTTTTTCATTTTTTTTTTCTTTTAGCTATTCTAATAGAAATTAAAGCTTGAGTTATGCCACCAAGGTAAGGCTGCCACTTGTCTGAACTTAACTGAAGCACATACTAAGTAAGAGAGGTTATATCGCTGGTGAAAAGAGGCTCCTGAAGCGCTGTCCTTATCTCGCTGCTGCCTATAAGCGGTTAACCGAGGAGCGCGCAGCAGTGAGGCAAAGGCTGGCAATGAACGAACGCCAACTTCACAGCTCCTGAGAGCCCCGCGCTCCCGGCACACACGAGCAGAGCCTTTCCTTCAAAGCAATACAAACTACTGCCACAGGCTGACGCTCTTTCTACAGGAATAATGAGACGCTCTCCGTGCCGAATGCACAACTCCTCACTTCCCCAGCTTCTCCCTCAGACTTCACTTTCACGCTCAATATTTACAAAATAAAACCTATGAACGTCTGATGGCTGCAACGTTCCCAGCACCGGTGGGGGACGCGGCGCTCCCCGAGGCTCACAGCAGTCGCCAGTGCCACGGGACCCGCCCTCAGCAGCGCAGCGCTGCGCCCCGACCGCGCTCGGGACTGCGCGGCGTTGCGGGCAGAGCGGTCCCGGCTCTGTTCCCACCTCTCCCGCCCGCTTCCCGGTGGTTGCAGGCGCTACCATGGGGCACGGCAGCTCGCTCTCCCGCAGCCCGCTTCCCCGCATCGGCCGCCGGGGTGAAGCGCTGAGCGCCGGGCGTTCCAGCTACGAGCGGGCGGACGGACGGACGGGAGCCCCGGGGGGCACGGCCACCTGCGGCCCCAGCCTCGCCCCCGACGAGTCCCTCGCGGAACGGGCTCTCACCTGGCGGCATGCAGAGGGCTGCGAGCAGCAGGCAGAGCAGCGGGCGGCGGCGGCAGGAGGTGCGGGCGGCGGCGGCGGGGGGCTCCATCATCCCGCCTGCCCGCGGCGGGACCGGGAGGCGGCGGGAAGACGGCGGCGGCACGCGGGGCTCTTCCCTCCGGCTGCGGAGCGCGGAGGCAACTTCTCTCGTCTCGCGGCCGTCTGCGGGCGCGGCAAGCGGCGGGGCGGCTGCTCTCCCTGTCGGCGCGCGGCGAGGAGCGACTCCGCACCGGAGCAGGTAGCGGCTTCCCTCTGGCAGCCGAGCGGCGCTCCAGGACTGAGAGCGGCGGCAAGGAGGCGGGGCCGGCTGCGGCGGCGCAGCTGGCCCGGCCCCTCGCAGCAGGCGGCGGGGCGGGGGAAGCCCCGGGTGCGGCCGCCCCAGTCGGCGGAGCCGCGGTCCCCAGAGCCCCCGGAGGCGCCGCCGAGGGGGAGCGGGACTGTGAGGTTGCGGAGCACGGCGAGCCCCGTGCCAGTCGCCCCGCCCCGCTCCTGCACGCGTTCTGTGTCCGCGGTCAAGGTGTGCGTCGGGTGGGAGTATTGCAAATCGCGAGCTTAAAAAATAAAATTGCCTGTTCTGCCGGGTGCGTAGCCAAAAGGAAAGCTCACAGCGGTCGGTGGAGCAGAGGGCTTGGAAGGGAGGGAGCTTAGGGCGCTTCTGGCTGCGTGAAGGAATGCACCGAAGGACGAGGGAGCGTGCGTTCGGCGCATCTGCCCCGAAGATGAAAACGATGCCCGCAGCAGTCATGGAACGCGGACATCTCGCCCGCTGCACGGCGAGGGCGGGCTGGGAGGTGGGCGCCCCGGAGTCACACGGCCAGTTCTGCCCGAGAAGTACCCCTGGTGTCCAAAAGCTGAAAGCGTGAATTACGCGTGTCATGTGGTCCCTCCAGAGGGACTTTACAGAAGCGAAATCTGAAGCGAGAAGAGCTCTCACTTACTTCATGTGAGCTTTTAGACAGGAACTTCCCCAAAAGTCCTGGAAATCAAAGACACGCTTCAGTAGATTATTCTGCAGATATATTTGCTGTTCTCAAAATATGCGACGATGACTAAAAACTGAGAACACTTCGATATTTCTGTGGTGCAGAGTAGATTTAAAATAGCACCGTCTGTGCATGTCTTTCACCACGTACTGCACTTGTTTCCAGTAAAATGAGGCAACGATGTTTCACTTCAACAACTTTAAGTCTAAAGCATTGTCTTCAACTCACATCATCCTTCTATTCTTCCACATTATTACCTTTATAATTGTGTACATCACGCTATGCAATCAGTTTTAAAAATATTTTACTTCCTCTACTTACTGCCCATCTGAGCCTTTGTTTTCTGTGGAGATTTCTCTTAATCGGCGTATTACTAAGCAGATTACAAAAAAGAAAAAAAAAAAAAAAAAGAAAACGAAAAGAAAAGCTACTTTTAAGATCAATAATTTTTTTTTTTTTTTGTCTTCCTTTTGAAGACACTTTATAGTACCCATTCAGAGTTTTTTTTCTTGTATGTTTAAAATCAGCACTGAGTACTCATTAGCTACAATATTTAGTAATTTTATTGCCGCAGAGCCTGGGGATTCCCCTAGAGCATCTGGGACAGAACAAGAGGAAATGATTTCAAACGAAAAGAGGGAAGATTTCGATTGGACATAAGGAGGAAGTGTTTTGCAATGAGGGTGATGAGGCACTGGCACAGGTTGCCCAAAGAGGTGGTGGATGCCCTGTCTCTGGGGACATTCGAGATCAGGTTGTACAGGACTCTGAGCAACCTCATCCAGCTGTTGGTATCCCTATTCATTGCAGGGGAATTGGACTAGATAGCCTTTAAGGGTTCCTTCCAACTCAAGTGGTTCTCTTCTACGAAAATCTTGAGAGGTATTGTGTAGAGTTATATGGAGATGACCACTTAGTCTAGTTCAATATTGTATTTCTCTTGTTTTTGACTTCTGGTATGTGTTGGTTTTTCTACAGCTCTAGCACTATTACAAATGGAGGGCCTAATTCTGACTTCTTTATTGATATGGACAAGATTGATAAAGCCATTGGGATTGTGGATGGAAGATTGAAAAGTGAAACTCTAAAAACTGTCTGAAGGCAAACAAACGTAAAAGATGAGAGGGCTTATAGGGCAGAATGAATCATGGTGCACTTAGTGTATGTTTACTTTTTAACATGGCAGTAGCGAGTTCAATTTGACAGTATCCAACTAATAAATGGTTTGCTAGATGAGAGAAGTAAATAATGTCCAAGCACCTTGTTTTTAAAGCAGATGAATAGCTGTTCCCTTATTTGCATAAAAATAATGGATAGTATATGTTTTCTGTCAGTGGAAGCGAGAAAACGCTTGTGAATGTTGCAAACAATTTCCAATGGCATGATACAGAGACTAAAATGTGAGCTAGAGAACAGTACATTCCAAGCAGACAAGCATTTTTGAATGTATGCTTATGATACCATTAAAAAAAATTATTTGATGACTTTTGCTCTCGTGTCAATACTGGATGTGCTGTTAAAAGTCTGTAATAAACATGAAAAATGCAGAAGATAACATTGTGGAAATAATACTGAAATCACAGCCATGATTTGTTGTGGGTTTCCCTCACTACTTTGTCATTTCTCTTCAAAGCTGTTTCTACCTTTCACTTGAAAGAGCTCTTTGAATTCTGAGTAAATAGAAAACATCTCAAGCTCAGATTACTCAAATGTTTTGATAACTTTACAGGAATTTAAATGTGATTAGAAATTGTCAAGGTAATTATTAAAGATATCTTTATGTGCTGTGTCATTTAAACTGTCCTCAGTACTGAGATTTGCAATTTAATGTCTGTTGGGCTGACACAATATAGATCTGGGTTTTTTTTACAAATTATGTTCTTGGGGCATGCTCCTGTTCTCCTTGAAGTTAATAGGAGTATGAGTGAGTCACTACTCTGTTGGGAGAACAGCAACTGCCTGGCTTTAATGTCCAAAGTAAACATTTTTTTTTAAGAAGTTAAAATAGTTACTAGTATATATTTTTCTTCTGTAGAATGTAACTGTGTTTCAAAAGCACTACTAATAAAAAAAATATAAAAACAACTTTGAAATATGCTTAATCTTATCAAACCATACATTTTTTATTTATGTGACAAGGTGGATTAAAAGTGTAATCCATTAATAATGGATTGTGCATCATAACAATGAGGTTTTGTTAAACTAAAATATCATTTTCTGTTCCCAACAGATGTTTAAAATAGTTCTTTTGGAAACAAATTCCTAGCAATAATAGTAGAGAACACTGTTGAATAGAGCACTGCTCAACACACCTGGTAATTTAATCCATTGTTAATATCTAGTAGGTAGGCTTTAGTCTTGCATGGAAGTTAACATCATGTTAATGAAACTGTATTTGCTGTTTTGGCTCAGCATTCAGAGGTACACTCAGCAAAAACAGGAGCCTTCCCTTTGCTTGTAACTGCCTTTGAGTCAAAAGCAACCATCACAGTCTCGTATTTTGCTATGTCTGGTTCTGCTAGCTTAGATGGACACTCTAGGTTAAAGGTGTTAAAGATATTCTAACTGTAGATGTTCTTGTTCATTGTATGGGAGTTGGACTAGATGACCTTTAATGGTCCTTTACATCTCAAACTGTTCTTTAATACTAATTCATAAGATGCAAGCATGAAAGGTTTCTATTTGTACTCAATGCAACATTTTTTCACACCAGGGATTAAACACCAGTATAATCTACCCTACCAGTTACAACAGTGCTGAATGACTTGTCAGTGAATTTCCTCAGATTTGGATCACATTTCTGTGACAACTGGGAATTCCACAATTCACTTCCTGCCCTCTTAGGCATCTGAATACCTTTAAGCATCTGTAGATATGAGTCAAAGCAGATGAGTGCTGTCTTTCCGGTGACTTTGCTTGATTAAGGGACATGCTTTGGTAGAAGAACAGTCATGCATGTCAAGAATTAAATTTATTTGCTCAGTATCAGCACATGAGGATAACCAATAGCAGTGCCTGTCCAAATCAGATGAATTGTTTGTGGTAGAGAGTGTCTTTAGGTTGCAAGGTATTTCAAACACAGTGTACAACACTAGGAGTAGAAATAGACCTGAGCTAAAAACCATCAATGGCCGATGCTGGCTAAGAAGGAAGTTTGCTGACCTGAGTTTCAGCAATTATTTGCAGATTTAGTTGTCTCGAATCAAAGCAAGTAAGACAAAAATTTTTTGAATGAGTGAATAAATAAATAATCAAACAAACCTAACAAATTGCAGTGGAAGAATAGCTGGAATCTGTTTCCAGTATTTCTTCTCTGCAAAAATGATCCTACTCAAAACAATCAGCAAATGGCTGACGGTATTGTTATTATAGCCATCAGCATAGCAATTAGGCTTCTGAAACAAACTTATTTTCCTATTACTCATGTCCAATGCATCTGTTTTTACATAATTTAGCGAAAGGACCAGTACTGTACAAACATTCATTAAAATGACATTACACTTACATTATAGTCAGAATATCCACAATGCCTTCAGCTGAGACAAAGTTTTTGTAAAAAATGAGTGGGAGGTGGGAGGAAGTCGTTTGAAGAATGGAGGTGGTTATTGCATTTAAAAGTTTGTGATTTTCCTCAAGAAAAAAAAAAGTAAACAAAAAAGGAAAAAGAAAAAAAAAAAAAAAGAAGAAAAGAAAAATACCAGATTAAAAGCAGCTCATATGCACAAACAGTCCAAGAGCCAAAGTGGCATGATGTGTTAACCAAGAAGTGCATAAATAACAAAATTAATTCAGTTGTTCAAGTTGCAGCAAGTTGATATATAGTCAACTTCGCCGGCCGCCTTCTTGTCTTCTACAAAGTCTTGCAATTGTCTTTTCTTCAGTCTTTTTAAAACCAATTTGTGACAGTGTCACAGTTCAGCCTGGTTCAGCCTGGTTCCACAAGGGGGCAAAGGGACCCACGGATCCATCCCCTCCAGGAAGGGAGGGGAAGGGAGAGAAAAAGAAAAGGTAGGGAGATGGGCCTAGGCAAGGAAAACGGCTTGCTTTTTTAAGTAGATCATCACTGATGATGATCTACTTAACAAGCAATGAGCTATGGAAAGCAATGAGCTATGGAAAAAACATAGTTTACTAAACATAGTAATGTGAGATAATACAATATAATACAGTAATTGCAATAATTAAGCAGTGAGGAGGGTTTGTCGTCTCAGAGGAGCTCAGGCAAGGCCTGGCTCTTGGGCACAGGAGCCCAGGCTGTTCATGACGGAGTGCAGTGGGACT